AAACATTAAATAGCAAATTGATTCAATATGATAGATAAAAATCTCACATTCAGTTTTTACACATCTACTCAAAATACATAATATATTTTTCATACAAAGTTTAATGACCTATCATGATTTATAAACTATAATATAGCATACATTTTATAGATTATAAAATAAATTCTTAATAAAAGAGCTAAACCCGCGCTTTAAAAACGCGGGTCAAAATCTAATTATTTTTCACCTAAAAATTCTTCCTTAAAGACTTCCATTGTGGATGCTCTAACAATCTAAAACCAAATCCTTATTAGTGGGAACTTAATTATCTTGTCAACCTTGGCCCTATCGCTTAAGATTTTAAAACTCACAACAAATTTATCACATTTACATAATTACACTCCACAATCAAGCCAGTTTCTTTTTTTTATTTTTCTAGTTTTCTTAGAGTAATTAAGGCTTTTTTTTTCGAAACACACATATATGACAGCTAACTAACGCTCTAATTTTCAAATTTATAGTAATACTTTTTTTGTCAACAAATTTATAGTAATATAAATGATATTTTATGAACTTTATAGCACATGGTCAATATTTTATGGGCCGGCCATGTCAAGAGCATAATCGAGATTCAACAACTAGGATAACATTAAAAAGTCAGTAGTTTAAACTATACTTTAGAAGCAAAATAATTTCATTTCAAGGGAAATATTCAGTTGCTTTACTTACCGTCTAATTGTTAAATAAAAAATTCTTTTGGATAAGAAAGAGAAAACGACAGCATTTAATAATTAACGAATCGAATATAATCACCAGCCAATTATAATCAAACAAGGCAACTAGCTGAAATCTGACTTGGAGGTCAACGCTCCGCGTAAAACCCACGTGAACGTGTCATCCATTTCTTTTCATGTTCTTGTCAAATAGAGTGTGCACGTCCAAAGAGGCTGGACAAAATATTTTAATTTGATTCATTTTTTTTTTGATTCAAATTAAAAATTAAGATATCGGTAATTTTATAAAGCAAAAATAGAATTGAATCATAAATAAAATATTTTTAGGAACAATATCCAATTTGATTATATACATATTATATACATATATCCAAAGAATTTATATATTTTTATATAAATAATATATTTTATATAAATTTTAAATGAGAAAACGAATATTTAAATTCCAAACTTATTTAAAATTACCAAAAAATACAGACTTTTATTAATCCAAAAAATTACCAAATTTACCATGACCTAACCAATTTAGTAATAAATTTAATCAAAAATAACTGTCGTTAGTCAGTCGTTTACTGTTCATGTCTACTGTTTACGAAGATAAAAATGATGCGTTTTAAATTTAAAACACGTAACTCAATTCCCAAATATAAAGCCGAAAAACCCTAAACCCAAAATTGATTTCTTACCTCTTTATTTTCTTTGTTTACTTCAGAAGTCAAATCATATTTTCTTTGTTTACTTCAGAAATCAAATCAAGTTTGATATGAACAATACGAGAAGGAAAAAGCTACATGTACATTGTCAACAAGATCGAGAACCCGAACCTCCACATGTGGTTGAAAGCAGTTGGTAGCGTTCAAATTGACAAAGAAGCTTGTGAAGTGTTATCTACAGAATTTGGGAATATCGCAAGGACTGATGAAGGTGATGATGATGAAAGTTGAGATGAAGATTATTGGAAGGAGGAAAATATACATGATCCTATATCATCCGATGACGAAGAAAAAGATGCGAGAAGGAAGGCTTGGGAGGATGAAGCATCAAGTTAAAAATTTAGCATTGAGCAAAATGTTTTCTTCTGCTGCTGAGTTCAAACAAAATCTTTTTAGGTATTCATTGAAAACAAGATATTACATCAAGTTATACATTTCAACACAATTGAATCTTGGAGATGTTTGCTCGGATACAGCGTATAATTTTTCTTGGAGAGTGTACGGCTCATATGAGAAGAGGAAGCATAAGCTGCAGATAAAGTTCTATATCAATGAGCATGCTGGTGTAAAGTCTGGTTATTCAAAATTTTTGAAGAGTTCATCTTTTGCTCAGTTGTTTTCTGAAAGATTAAGGTTGAATCAAAAGCTTACGGCTATAGAGATTGGTGAAGAGATCAAATGGATCTACACGTTGACAGTAACTGATGAGAAATGTCAAAAGGCGAAGACTAAAGTCACTAGAGAAAGACGATCAATCCATGAAAGTCACTTTTTATGCATTTGAAACATGAAGCCGAGCTTGGCAAGACTAATCCAGGCACCATTACGGAGTTAATTACCATTCCTGGAGCAACACCATGAAGTAAGCAAAGGTTTGATCGCTTCTATGTATGTTTTGAAGCACAACGTGCAGCTTAGAAGTCTACTTGTAGGCCAATCATAGGTCATGACAGAGCTTTTCTAAAATGGGATGTGAAGGGCCAATTGATTGCTGATGTTGGAAGAGTTGGATATAATCATATCTGACAAGCAAATGGTAAGACTATACATTGTGTTCTCCACGTTGTTCTTGTTGTTTTGGATGGTTTAATAAAAGCTGATCATCTAGAGCTTCCTAATGTAAAACATTGAATGTGTGCAAGATACATTCCTAGAAATTGGAAGAGAGATAACTATGATCCATAGCTAGAGAAATTATTTTGGAAAATGGATCGCAGTTACATAGCTAGGTATAATGCAGTGGAGCTTCAAGTCACCAATCCTCACACTTAGTCGGAGACCTTTTTTTTAAGATTGGTTCTTGTTACACTGATAATCTGAACAGCCTCAGTAAATCTTTCAATAAAACAATCTGTGAGGGTAGGCGAAAACCAAACTTGACATGCTAGAGGAAATTAGGAGACAATGCAAGTTCACACAACAAAACGGTCTATAAGTTCTATAGGTTGAAGACTAAATTCACTAGAATGTGCTATAGCTAAAGGTCAGGATTGTATTAGATATATGGATACATGTAATGTCTTTGAAATTGACGAGCATGGCTGTTGTTATGTGTTGATATGAATCTGAAAACTTGTGGTTGTGGGATGTGGCAAATAATTGGAATTACATGTCATCATGCCGCTTGTGTGATCTTTGGAAGAAGCAGAAAGTAGATGACTTCGTTTCAGATAACTACACTACTATAAGATGGAGAAAGATTTATGAGCATAATATTAGACATGTTGAAGGAATGAAGTTGTGGCCGACTTTGAATAGGTTACATGTCTTGTCTCCGCCAAATAGGTTAGGCAATCGAGGAAGGCCAAGTAATTATGCTAGAAAGAAAAGCGCCAATGAATCATCTTCACATTTAAGAAGTAAGACTAAGCTAAGTCATGATATACACATTATGATTCGCTCAAACTGCAGAGAAGGGCATACCAAGGTTAGTTTTTCAAAACCGAGGGTGGAAACTGAGCCAAAGCGACAACGAGGTCAGCCAAGGAAAGATCAGGTATGTTTGTGTTGTTCTCTTTATGTTTTCATTTTTACATGATTTTGATATGCTATGTTTTTGTATAGGAAAGAGGGTCACAACTTAGTTCACAAGGAGGATCACAACTTAGTTCAAAAGAGGGATCACAACTTGGATAGTGAATATGCTGTTTTGTGTGTGCTCTAAAAAAATGTGTTTTTGATTTGAAGAAACCTCGCATTCCAAAATTTTGTTTTTTTTCTCTGTTGAACAGCATAAGTTAACAATATATGTGAACAGTAACTCTAGTTTAAATAGACACTGTGAACAATAATGTGAAAAGTAACGACAATTATCTTTGATTAAATTCATATCTAAATTGGTTAGGTCAAAGTAAACTTGGTATTTTTTGGATTCATGGAAAATCTGTGTGTTTTTGGCAAATTTTAATAAGTTTGGTATTTAGATGCATGTTTTCTCATTTTACTATAATTTTTATTTATTATATTAGTTATTAGACATTTAAGTGTTTTTATTTTTATAATAAAATATTATTATTTCATATTATTTTAGATTTTTGTTTATTTTTAGTTTATAATTTAATTTTATGGATCGAATCGGATATAAGGTGAAAAAATAAAATATTCTGGATATCTAAAACACCAAATATCTGAATGATTACGGATCAGATTGAATAATTGATTTTTCGGATGAAACAGATCAGATCGGATCACGAATACTTTCAAAAACTTGAATATCCGATTTGTGCTTACCCTTAGATCCAAATAATTTATCTTTTTTTTTTTTTTTTGTCAACGATCCAAATAATTTATCAAATTGACAATTATACGGATATTGATGTTCTAATATGAGATATGATTATGTCCAAACATGACCAAGCCCAAATAGAATTATAATCAGTAGACAAAACCAAATAGTAAATTAGAAACGTTAAAATAAAAGTTGTTCATATCTAATAAAATGTTTATGTTCTTTGTTTTGAATTTTGATGACTATTTCCAGAATGGATTTGAACTTAGAATTTTAAGTTATTTTATGCTTTTCGGTGATTGTTCGGTCTAGCTCAGTTTTTATTCCGAACAAAATTGAATTTGACCAAAATTCTGCTTGACATCCATGTTTATCGATAATCAGTTGATTACTACTCCTACCAATAATCGATGTTCTAGCTTGTCTTTTTATATATATATATAAAAGATTGATATTATTACTAATTAATACATCTTACTTTAAAACTAAAATATAAATTTAAATGTAAATACTTTTTTGTCAAACAATATGTAAACACTTAAGTGGTTGAATTTTCTCAGGAATCAAATAAAATTTTAAAACTAATAAGAAATGGAACTAAAAATGAATAGATTTTTAAATAAGTTTGCATAAATATCATTCTAGGGAGTATATTTTAGACACGATTATCCATGGATTGACACCCTACTTTTATAATTCCACATGTTCCTGGCGCTTAAATTTTTTAAACTGATAAAATATTTACGTAATTGAACTCCACAATCAAGGGTATAACGGAGATTCCAAAGTAATTGAGGTAATATAAAAACGCACCCCAGTCCCACGTCCATGACCACAACAAAATTTTAGAAAGGAGAATAAAAAAAGAGAAGCTATGTCGGAAGAGTTCACGGCAGAACAGATAGCCCAGTTCAAGGAAATCTTTAACTTGTATGGTGATGATGGTATGTTATGTTTCATCCCTTTCCCCTTTTAAGGTTTCTGTTCAATAACACCTCTCATTAATTTATTTTTTTGCAGGGCGTATTACCACAAATGAGATTGGTACCGTGTTGCGTGCCCTCGGTAAGAAAGCGACCGAAGCTGAACTTCAGGACATGATCAACGAAGTGGGTTCAGATGGTAACGATACCCTTGACTTCACCAGGTTCTTGAACCTAATGACTGCTAGGAATATGAAGCTCAGCGACTTTGAGAGAGGATTCAAGGATGCATTCGAACACGACGATCAGCCTGAAGGTAAAATATTGTGTCGGGAGTTGCTACAGCCGATGATTATATTAGAAGAGGCTGGTATGCTTAAGGAAGGAGATGTTGATGGTGGTGGGCTGGTCAACGAAGACGAGTTTATGAAACGTCTGGACAAAGCCTTTAATGAAGGTAAATCGGCTGATGAGTGATGGCTCCACACTTTTGGCTGAGCAGATATGTTGATGGTGATGGTCACTGATACGGGAAAATGGTGTGAATTTCCTTATGTTATATCTCTTTCAACCAGTATAATTTATTTCAATAATCCTCGCTATCTTTTGAATTCTTTTTATGTACGTGTTACTTTCCGAGAGGAGAATAAATCAAGATTTTCAGTACATTTCTTCACTATTTTTGTGTTTCTTCTTATATTTTGAAACTGAACCCTGAAGAAAATCATTACCGAAACATCCGGAAAAAAATCGTATTGAACTCAAAAACTCGAATCGAACAAACCCAAAAATAATGTGTGAAGGACAGTCAAGAAACACAAGTAATCTGTATATTAAAAAAAAAAACACAAGTAATTTGTTTACCTAGCTTACAAAGAAACAAACGTTGATAACTTGATATGCTTTTTTTTTTTTTGTTACTAAGATAGTGATCATAAGTGATCGAAAAGTGAGTGGAACAGAGGATATCAAGTCCTGATCAAGAAACAGGACAAGTCATCAAGCATGGTTCAGACATTGCAATTTTCTAACTGTTTCTCCTGATTTCTCGCAATCTTCCGAAAACCCCCTGTTTCATTTACTTCCCTCGCAACCCACGTCTCTTTATCTACTAATCTTTTTCGAGCTACACTACAACCATAAGAATTTGCAAAATTATGTTTCAAAAGTTTAACGTGGTAACAAATCACATACTAAGAAAAACAATTAACCTTTTTATGATTGTTGTTTCATTATAATTGTTGTTTATGATTTTTGTTGTTTATGATTTTTCGTACATATTAAGAAAAACAATTAACCTTTTTATTAAGTAACTAAAAGTATATGATATATTGATTTTACTGATTAGTAAACTAAAGGAACATTATAACTAGAAATTCAGATGTTGCCACCACAATTGCTTATCTGCACTTTCATCCTCTTCTTCAGCTGGAATCCGCCACGGACCCACTGTGACATCCGTCCAGAAAACATAGTCTATGTCTCTTCTGGTGTGAGACAACCTTACTTTGTTCTAATAGGTGTCATGCGGTGCTTGAGGATAGGGATAGACCTGCTTTGAAATGCAGAGAGCTTGATTTACATGCTTTATTTCTGTTTCGGAGACTTGCCTGATTTGGATTCAGTTGAAGGAGCTCTTCAATGGAGAGAAACCTCTTGGTCCAAGAGGTTGATTCAGCAGAAGCTAGGTGATGTCTCGACTATTTTGAAAGCTTTTTCTGACTATGTTGATAGTCTATGTGGGACACCGTATCCGTTGGACTATGGGATATGGTTGAGAAGATTGAAGAGGAATCTTTCTGAAGATCACGGAAAAGAAATTGAAACTTCAGGCTAAGCTACTTATATATAAAACATTGGATTCCTTTTGAACATTCTTTCAGGTGCTCTCTGCTTTAACCTGTCCGAGACTAGAAAGCTTCTCGATGAGACGTGTCCTTCGGTTTTGCCAAGTCTGAATAGTTTGGACCTTTGTTCTGTTCTTCTTGTACATGACCTCTGAAATCGATTAAGCTTCATGTGTTTACCTTAGGCCCTTAGCTGTTATTGTTTTGTTCTGTTCCTTCTTGTCGTCATTATTATCATCTCCAAGAGTGGTTCTCTATTATTCTTATTGTAATGATGAGAGTTTTTGTTCCCATTTTGTGCTTTCATAACCTAAATCCAACCATGTTTCTGTTTCTGCGTGCGTTGTTTATGATATAGTGTATCTCTTTATTAGTGAAGGACAATCAAGAAATTGTTACATCCTACATACAATCCAAGAAATAACCATGTAGTGACGACATAGTCTCTCTGACCCCAAAAGTTAACTCGTTGAAGAGACGAGTGCATTGTCTTTAGAAGTAAAAGAGTCGTTTACACAAGTAATTTGTTGAGCTATCTCGATGATGTTTAGAAGAGAAATGTGAAATCCAGTTGTCGAAGATGCTTCAATATTCAGAAAGGGGAAACATAGCTTACAAACGTTGATAACTTGATAATGCTTTTTTGTTACCAAGATAGTGATCAAAAGTGATCCTATTAAGACAAGTGAGTGGAACAGAGGATTGTATCAACAATGTTCAACCGTAATCAGGCAAAAAAAAAAAAAAAAACATTCGGTGTAATTTTTAAATTTATTATTTTATTACATTATTAATTTTACATTAATTATATGTAAAAATTAAGAGAAAATAAACAGTTTTATTTAAATATAGGACAGTTCTCTCAAATAGAATTTTTTTAGGTTTTTTCACAAATATAGATCTTAAAACTTAAATGACCAAAACAACATTTTTTATTTTGAAAATTGCAAATTTTTTTTTTAAAAAAAATTTGTAATCCTATCCCCAAGATCCCACTCCTCAACTTTAAACAAAAATGTTTACGATTAGTTAAGCCAAAGGATATAAGTGTATATTTACTTATTTTTGATAAAACATTTAAGTCTATCTTGGTCTTTTTTATTTTAAGGTCTATATTTGTGATTAAAACTTTTTTTAGGTATATCTTAAAAAAGTATCTTAAATTTGTATTTAATAATATATATGTATCTTTTATCTTTTGGTTAAATTATATTAAATCAGATTCTATACTATTAAGAGAAAATTTTGTTAGATATATAATTATCAAAATATAAACTAAATAATATTTCTAAAATTTATAGATGTTATAAATAAAGCTAATGGTACTGGGATTAGAAATTTTAATTTAAAAAAAAATGCATTAAATTTTGAAAAAAGAATTTATTAATAAATAATATATAATTATAAAAATACACTTAAAAATATTTCAATATTTGTAATATTATTATATTTATATTTCTATTATTATATTATTTATTATCTTAATGATTATTTATGAGTTCTTTTTCTTGTAACTATTTTAATACAAATGTTTGTTTAATCAAACATAAAAAGTAATATAAAAATATTTTTGTTTATCATAAATTATATTTAAGAATATGCATGTATATATTTAAAACTGTAATCTTAGATAATTTTTTATCTATTTATTTTAATCAAATATATTAAATAAATTTGTAAAAACTTTTATAATTATCAAAATTTAAAATTAGACAATATTTATTAAATTTTTAAATATATAAGAAATTAACAATTTACGATTAAAATTTTAATAATTTTTCAAAAAATGTATACATTTTTGAAATTTTTGTAATAAAATTGTATAGTTTTATAATATATAATTAAATGATATTTTCGAAAATTTTAATGCCATATTGATATATATTTATTTTAATGATTATTTATTAGTTATTACCATATTTTAAAAATATTTCTAAAAATATAAATCGACATTAAATGTAATATATGAGTTGTTACCATATTCTATAAAGTTTTCCAAAAATATATATTAACATTAAATGTAATTGTCCATGTCATATTTAATCATATGCCATGTCATCAATTATAATAAGAATGTCATCATTTTTTTGTGAAACTGATTTTAGAGAGGACATGTGGTAAAATCACTTCACAAATAATGTATAGGGGATTGGTTAACAATTTTTTGTAACTTAACATATATTGTTTCGGCTTAAAAATATGTTGAGTCGACTTAACATATATCGTGCCTTTTAAAACTCTGACCAATGAGAAGATATTATCCTTTTAAAACTCTGATCTTTTAACATATATAGTTATATACCATCGACTTTTAACATATATATGATTTGACTTAACATATATTGTTCTTTTTAAAAGGAACAAAAGGATGATATGTTACCAATCTGTCAGAGTTTTACAATGAAAGATTTTGTTCCTTTAAAAATTCTGACCAAAACGTTGCACATAATCGTCTCACTATATATATAATCAATCCAAACACAGAAGACAAGACAAAACAAGAAAAAAGAGTTAGGAGATTACTATAAAAATGGCTATCACCATAAAATTTGCATTTGTTTTTACCGTTCTCTTCATCGTATCTTTCGTTCATTGTGTACCGACTACTTCAAATATTCCAGGTATTGGTTTATTCTTCATTTTATAATTACGAAATAGATTTTGTCCTTTTTAATGAAAATTATATACATATTGGATTAGTAATATTTATTTAATAAAATAGGTTATGAAGTAAAGCAGATGGATCGTCAATGTTTCCGTAATTTAAGTATATGTCGTGCTGGAGGAGCTGGCTGCATTGTTTTTTGTAGAGATCATGGTTATTACTATGGCGTCTGTGCTACTGATGCATGTTGTTGTCAGTTTTAAATACCAGTTAAAGTCCAAAATAATATAATTTAAATCAAATATTTTGGTATCTACTTGAAAAACACAACACCATTATTTTCATATATATATATATATATATATATATATATATATGTTTTGCTTAATCAATACATAAAATCCAGAACCAAGCAAATTAACAAATCGAAGTTACTTTTGATTAACTTTTGAGCGATATATAGCTTCTGCAATGTGAATAAAATCTAAAAGCAATTCGAAATAAAACTTAGTGAATACTCGATGATCGTCTTGGATTAAGTCGTTGTGGATCAATACTGGATACTTGTTAGTGTGGATTACAGTGGATGTTGCTTATGTCGTGTGAGTTACATACATGCCTTAGTCTTTATGCAAAAGTCAAATTAATGGGTACTTTTTCCCCTTTTGGTGAATGCATCTTAATATATGAATCCCCAAATTCATCAGACAGAAATTCTTGTGAATTAAGTGTGCTTGAAGCTTGATGATCCATTTCTGCACCACTTTGCCTTGTGGTCATGATATAATTAATAAGGATGTAATGGTTACACGTGTTAGCAGTAGCATCCCAAGATAGTTTCTAGGCTAGGGCAAACTTAACTTATTAAACTGTAAACTTCTCTTGCACTAACATAGCTTATTTAGCTAGATAAACACCGTCTAAATAACTGTTAAATAAAAATGAACGTGTGATCCATTATGTCCAATTCTCTTGTTGCCAACCCGGTGCTGGCGCTTAAAAATTTTAAACCTCAATTTGACTGTATTTATGTTATTAAAAGTCCACAATCGAGGGCATAACTGAGATTAAAAAACAATTCGGGTAATATAAAAACGCATTAAGTCCGATGTTCATAAGACAACAAAGTTTTAGAAAGGAGAAGATAAAAGAGAAGCTATGGAGGACCAGCTCTTCAAAATGTATATCCCCAAGTTCAAGGCCCTCTTTAAAATGCACCACAACTATGGTATGGTATGTTACGTTTAATCCCTTCCCTATTTTAAGTTTCTGTTTAATAACACCAAACATTTTAATTATTTTTGCAGGTCGTATAACCGCAAAGGAGCTTGGTAAAGTGATGAGTGTCTACGGTCTGGACAAGACCAGAGCCGAGCTTCAGGACATGATCAACGAAGAGGGTGCAGGTGCAGATCGTAATGGTACTATTGACTTAACCGGATTCTTGTACCTTATGGCTAGGATGGTGAAGGGCGACTACTCTGGGTCAGGACCCACATATGCATTGAAAGACTTAGACAAAGACCAAAAAGGTAAAGCTCCATCGGCTGATGAGTGATGGCTCCACACTTTTGGCTGAGCAGTTGTTGATGGTGATGGTCAGTGATACGAGAAAATGGAGTGATTTTCCCTTTTTAATCTCTTTTAGCAAGTTTGATTTAATTCAATAATCCGTGTTATCCTTGTACGCGTGAACTTACTTAACGGAGAATAAATTAAGACTTTCCATTTTTCCTTGTCCATATTTTAGATAAAGTTCCCTGAGTTCTTGAACGTCTCGTAAAATGAAAGACACTGATTTATGTGTGTGTTGAAGACTAATAATGTCAATGACATATAGATATATCTCAGTGCTAACCATCCTAACTTTTTAACTTCATATACTGTCTCCATCGATTCTCAGAGTATTTGATTATTATTATTTTTTAAAAATTGTGTGTGTGTTGAGACAAATGTCAATGACATATGAATATATTTCAATCCTAGCTAACCCTCTAAATTTATTTGAATTGGAGAGTTTCTTCAAGGGATCCAACAAATTTTTTTAATTTGATGGATTTGTATCCCATCAGAACCTTGTGAGCTGACTGTATCATCTTTTGCATAAGCTTAACGTAAGACATAGGGAGCTTAACGTAAGACATAGGGTACATAAGGATTGCTGAAAGGACCAGTTTGAGTTAAAAAAATAATTAATACTCAAATTATTTTGTTAACCAAATATGACTAAATTAACAACACAGACCGAAGTCAATCAAATAACAGAAAAGAGATGCCGTAGAGCACCCCCATCAAGGGATGATGAGGGGAGTTCACACGCAAAGCAAAAAAAAGTTTAATATTAAAATCAGATTTCTATTAACCCTTCTCTCAAAAGTTCACTGCAGTGAACCCGATGACCCCGGATTCACCACGTGTAAATTATTGATTGATCCATTATTATTTTTTATTTTATTTTAAAAAGTAAACGAAAAAATAATAATAATTTTTTATTTGTGTGAATCTCTCTCCATGGGTTTACTGATGTAGATGTTCTTATGTTTGAAATAGTCTCGAGTGCATTACCATAAAGGACACATTATTGTCTTTCTTTACCGTTTGAGACACAATTCACTAGTGAGACACATTCCCGATTTCCCAGGCAGCTTTAGAACGAAAATGCCCTTTACTAGGCGAACTGAGACATGTGAATATTTTTTAATATTTTATTATTTAGTTAGAGGAGACCAATTGTAGCCGTTAGTTGTAATTTCAAAAATTAATCCAAGGGTGAGGGACGATTGTCAAGTTGGACTCTGATGGGATAATAAATACGGAGTTTCTTTTCTTTTTGCTGCTGTAAAAAGAATGGGCTTCTGTGAGTCGTTGGATGTGGTTAGTAATTGTGGATCGTAGGGCTACATGACTTATTCAAATATATTACTATTATCAATTCTCCTTCTATTTCCTTATATGAATAGTTTCAAATATTTAAGTATATAAATAAATAATTTTGATATAATAAACTATAACTTTTTGTCTTTTACATTTTAAGATCCATTTTAGAATATTTTAACAATTGAATATGAATAAAACATATCAACCACAAAACAAATTTGTAGATTAAATGTTTATAACAAGTGAAATGTGGATAGATATATTGTGGATATAGTAAAAATGTGGACATGGACACATTAAATATATACAAAAATGTGGACACAAGTTAATGTTGATTTGAAAAAAGTGATTTCACATTACCACCATCAAGAATGTGGACATAGATTAAGCGTGAACAGCCAAATGTGGACATATAATTGATACACACACATAAATAACACATGGGCAACTTAAGATAGAAACACCAGGAAATGAAGCAATGGAAATCAGAGTACACACAGTGAACTGCTGTCTAAACAAGCTGGAGCAATAAGTGCATCAAAATGCAGCCACAATTTTTGGCTACAAAGGTGACTAACCACCATCTTGATGAGCTGAATGCAAAGAGGAAATCCTCAGCATCAAAGGAGTGTGGAGTTGCAGGAAACACCACTTCGATGCCACCAAATCAAGAGCTAGAGAGCAAAGATTGGTTTTTGTGACATCTTAACTTTATGAAGTGTATCCCTGCAACATAAGTTAAGAATACCAACATACAAAAATATATCAGTGACCATAAAAAGAATTAGAATAAGATAACTAGAATCTCACAATGAGGTAAAAGAGAGCTGAACCAAAGCCTAAAAGTCTCATAGTGACGTAAACTATGGGTACAAGAAAGCACAAAATCTACATACTGAGGTAGTGGGGGGGGGGGGGGGGGGGGGGGGTGATTGGACCCGTGAAATGCAACAGAAACCAACTAGTTTTGACTCCATAAAATAGGTTACAAAGACCATACCTTTTGGATAAAATTGAAAGAGAAGAAGAAAATGAAACATCTTGAATTTTGTTACAGTGTTCAGAAATCAGTGGTGAGACCTGAAAGGCCGACAAAGACACGAGCTTTGATCCAGGATATTCTCGGGAAATCGGTGGCGATTCTCTGTAGCTGCACACCGAGCGTACGATCACAGGCGATGGCAAAGTAGTTCTTCCCAACCATAGCCACAACGACACTTCCATTGTACTCGAAGATCTGCATCAGCACAATATCCATCAATTAGTCACCACCATAGAGAATCAAACAAGAGACTCTTACTGGTCAACTTATCGACATAGGAAATGAGGTCTCTTCACCAGAGCAACTGGATTACGCGGTGGAGCTTTGTCAATGACTAGTCATATCAAAGTGAAGACTTTCTCTTATTGCCTCGTTGGCGTGACTTCGGGAAAATCGTTGAGTCTTGATTTCAACTCGGTACCGGAGACGCGGTGGCTCTGATTCGCTCAGTGAATTCAGCGCCGATGGTCAACAAGTCTCGATCTGGCTCTCTGATGTTCGACGTCGAAGAGACTTGAACGCTTCTTCAAAATTTTTGCATTCTTCTTTTAGATCCGGCCATAGAAACTCGTTTGTAACACGCGAGTGTTTAGCAAACTCCATCTTCTTCTCCATCAACATTACTCAGTCAGCAAAAAAAAAAAAATCTCAGAAGCTACAGCTCTCGCTCCTTTCTTCCTCTTCCAACCATCTCATCCATCTCTCCTCTTCCTAATCTATCTCTCTTTGTGTCTCCACTGCTACTCCGGAAAATATGTTAAAGGTATGGGCATAACTGATACTCCTTAATTTGGGTTCTTGTAAAATAATATCAGATTAAAATTATGATAATCCCAAATAAAAAAATAGAATTCTTTGTATTTGGAAAATTGGTTTAGATTCGAGATAGGAGAGAGAGAGAATGAAGAAAGTTAGAAAAATAGAAAAACTAGTTAGTTTAGTGTGGGGAGGGTAGAAAGGACAAACTACACATAAAAAGTGTGTCACATGTGACATGTGTCTCTATGTGTAAATCATAAGTCAAAATGTGTCTGTAAGAGTAAATTTTTCGAAGTTTGAGTTTTAGTTATAAGGCGTGGCCCACGTTAAAATAAGTTTTGATGTGACATTTTCCTTTTGTCAACACAAGTTTAACAAAAAATTGCATTTTAGAATGTAGACAAAAAAATAGTAATTTACTTAAAAATCCAACCACACCCTTGCATTTACATATTAGAGCATGATTAATTAGAAGTTCTTAAACGTGAGGTTTTTAAGACATCTTTAATCCTACTCTATTTTCTAATCCAAATATCATTTTGGAGTAAAATTTTCTCTAACTCCACTTCATTTTCAACTCCAAATAGAGAAAGGACTAGGATTATTCTATTTATGGAGTAATCTTACATATTACTCTATTTTGGACTTGAACTTTTTTTATTTATGAAATTGTCATTAAACTTTTTAATGTTTTCTTTTTTTTTTACTTAGGTAATATTTTTAAAAGATACAATAACATGAAAAAAGAAATTTCAATATTTAATAATTTGACATAAAAATGCACAGCATAATTACAACCGTAAATAATATTAAATAAAAATAATAGAAAATAAGTGATTTAATAATCTGGTAAATCGCTTCTGGATCTATTAAGACCGGTGAAGTAAATTCCAAACGGAGAAGATTGAGAAAGAGCTTGTTGATCTTGTGACTCGGCATTTCATTTTGATATTATTTACACTTATTAAGCTTGAATATACGCACATACATGATATCGAAATTGTAGAAGATGAAAATGTCCGATTTCAAAATTTTCTTGCTTGATTTAGGAGTAGCAAAGATAAAGAAACTCATTTTCATTACGAAATGCATTAGTTGATCATTTACGGGAAAATATATTCTAATGCTCATTATTGAATCAGCTTATATTGTATTTATTATATTTTTATGATTTCTTGTGCTTTTTAATCATAAATTTTTAATTCAAATAAATTATATTTTAAGGTATTTTTAGAAACAGAAAATAGTTGGAGTTAATTGGTAAACGTTTATAAATATATGGCATTATTAACAATCATTAATTATATTTGGAGTAAAAAATGGAGTAATACATTGGAGTAAAGCCTTACACCATGTTGGAGTAAAATATTGAGTAATACATTGGAGATGCTCTTAGGACATCTCCAACCCTATTCCATTTTCTACTCCAAACATCATTTCGGAGTAAAATCCTCTCCAACCCCACTCTATTTCCAAATCCAAAATGGAGTAATGACTAGGGTTACTCCATTTTTGGAGTAATCTTACACATTACTCCATTTTAAAGTTAAACTTTTTTTATTTATAAAATGGTCCTTTAACTCTCTAATGTTTTATTTCTTGCTTAAATAATATTTTAAAAAGATACAATAACATAAAAATAAAATATTTCATTATTTAATAATTTGATATAAAAATGCATAGCATAATTAAAAACATAAATAATATTAAATAAAATAACATAAAATAAGTGATTTAATAATCTGGCATCGCTTCCGGATCCGTTAACGACCGGTGAAGTATTTCCCAAACGGAGAAGATTGAGCAAGATGGATGTGTTAGTTGGTCATTTATGGGGAAAATATTCTAATGTTTATTATTGAACCAGCTTATAGTGTGTGTGTTATTGTGTTTTTATGATTTCTTGTACTTTTTAATAATAAATGCTTAATTAAAATAAATTTATTTTAAGGCATTTTTATAAATATAAAATAGTTGGGGTTAATTGGTAAAATTTTATAAATATAAGGTATTATTAACAATTATTAATTATTTTGGAGTAAAAAATGGAGTAATAAATTGGGGTAAAACCTTACTCAATTTTGGAGATTTTGGATTAAAATATGGGGTAATACATTGGAGATGCTCTTAGCGGAATTAAGGAACCGTCTCTTGACTTTTAACTAAAAAAGTCTAAGAACCGGTTCTTAAAGGTCTTATTTAAAGGTCGATTCTTAGTTTTTAGTTAAAAGTTAAGAGACAATTTCTTAATTTCGCTAAAAACCCTACCCTTAAACCCTACCCCGTCTCTTGACTTTTGACTAAAAAAATGTAAGAACCGATTCTTAAATGTCTTATTTAAAAGTCGATTCTTCGCTTTTTTAGTTAAAAGAACCGATTCTTAATTTCGCTAAGCTCAGGTGGAAGGTGTGATCATCCTTGGTGTGGAACTCCCATTCTTGTGACAACTCCTGTTGGAGAGACGGTATCTGATATGGTAAACGAGGGTAGGTTTGGTTCAGAAGAAGCTATTAGATGTTGCCATGATTGCTTATCTGCACTTTCATCCTCCTCTTCAGCTGGAATCCGCCACAGTGACATCCGTCCAGAGAACATAGTCTATGTCACTTCAGGTGTAAAACATCCTTACTTTGTTTTAATAGGTTGGGGTCATGCTGTGCTTGAGGATAGAGATAGACCTGCAATGAATCGATCTTCACTTCTCTTCTACCTACGCACTCCAGGAAGGGAAGCTTTGTGCTGCCTCAGATGCAGAGAGCTTGATTTACATGCTTTACTTCTGTTTTGGGGACTTGCCTGATTTGGATTCAGTTTGAAGGAGCTCTTCAATGGAGAGAGACCTCTTGGTCCAAGAGGTTGATTCAGCAGAAGCTTGGTGATGTCTCAACTATTTTGAAAGCGTTTTCTGACTATGTTGATAGTCTATGTGGGACACCGTATCCTTTGGATTATGGGATATGGTTGAGAAGATTGAAGAGGAATCTTTCAGAAGATCACAGAAAAGAAATTGAAACTTCAGGCTAAGCTCTTATTCAAGATGTCCTTCTTATGTATAAACATTCCATTTCTTTTGAACATTCTTTCAGGTTCTCTTTGCTTTAACCTGTCTGAGACTGGAAAGTGTCACGTTGAGACGTATCCTTGAGTTTTGCCAAGTCTGACTAGTTTGGATCTTGTTCTGTTCTTGTACATGATCTCTGAAATCGATTAGATTCATGTGCTTACTATAAGTGTAAGAGTAGTGCAGTACAGAAACTAGAACACACAGTAAGACATGATTATTCTTCTCAAGAAAATACGACTAGATAAATCCTTTTAAAATGTTCTTACAAGGTCTCTTAAAAGCAATTTTCAATCAAGCTCAAGGAAACCTTGACTTGTTGACTAGCCTAATCTATTCAAGACTTACCACAGTCGTTGAATAACTTCTAACCCTTAGACTTTTGTGTCACCTTACTCGGACTCACAAAACTCTCTATTGCTAAAAGTTTTTCCCAGTGTGTTTGCCGACTACAACCTAGTCGACCTCTTTATACCTAAAGAGAAAACCCTAAGTTCTACCTAATGGAAACTTTCCATTTTCTATTACAGCAAATAAGACAACCTTGCTCTTTCTAGATCGGTTGCTTCCTCTTCACTTCTATTTTTTAAAGCCCACCATAAAGAATATCTTCATATCTTCATTAAAATCTATTTCCTATTTCCTCCTCTTCTCACGACTCCGCACTTCTCTCAGTAGTTCATGTCGTGTTTCATGAACTACTAGATTTTATACTCGCGCTACGCGCGAGTCTGTATTAATAATTTAGTTTAGCTTTAAAATAATTTAAAACAAAAAAATTAATTGGGTAACATAATTTTATTATTTAAAATATAATTTTTAATTTAGTATTTGTGTTTTCGTATAATTATGTTATCTTATTAGCTATTTAATTATTTGTATTTGTAAATATAATAAT